CACACCAGGTGACAGGCTGCTGGCCCATGCTGGGCCAGGGGATGTGTGCTGGCAGAGGGGCAGAGAAACACGGAGGGAAGAAGGTCTCCTTGGGAAGACAGAGTCATCCATGGCCATCCCTGAGGGAGGGCGATATCGATGCACAGGAGCTGTAGCTGCACCGAAGTTTCCTGTCATCCAGCATTGCCTCAGCCTCGTTCGCTCCGACCTCCCTTGCACACAGGTAAAAACTTGTGGGTTTATTCACAAATTTGTAATATCTCATGAGACCCTGTAAATCCAGCTGGCTCACACCCAAGGGTGGTGCATGACAGACACCTTTCAGTGGCAACACCGTGCTGAAGTGTGCCCATCCCAGTGCTCCTGCCCACCGCCAGCACCAGCCCCCTTGCTCTGCCCCTCTCCCAGCACGGGAGCTCCTGGTGTGACCTGGCCAAGGGGCCCAGCTGCTTTGGAGAAACTCTGCAAAACGAGTAATTCCAACTGCGGCTGGGCTGGCAGAGCCTCCTGGGTGAGGGAGAGCATGGCACAGGGCAGGAGCAAACAAGGGGAGCAGGAGGGGGGACTTCCCAAGCTGGCACTGCCACGTAGAGAAAGGCCTGGCCCACCTTCACCTTGGGCGACATTTCCAAGTTCACCTGTACGGTTTAGGAGCATAAAACCCATCGCTGTTAACAGATTTTTCCTTGAGGCCCATGCTCCTGCCTCACTGAGAAGCTGCTGAAATACCTCTCATAAAAATGAAATTGACAACAGTGAGAAGTTATTTTGCCTTTTACAAGAGCAGGGGCTCTACAGAAGCCTTTCACAGCCCCTAAAGCTTCAGAAAGGCCATTGAAAGGAATATTCTTGGATTTAGATCCACAGCAAAAGACAAGGTTCATCCAAACACTGCCACTGACTCTGGCTGGAGTTGGACTGGACCCACATGTGAAATGTAAGCAAAATATGCTGAGAGTCCTTCAGAATATAATGAATTACAGAAAGAGGGCTTTTTTTTATTTATGAAAAATGGGGTTATTACAAAGGGGCATTGAGATGGCCTTCCTTTCCCCCTATCCAAACATTCAGGGGAAAAGGCAAAGAGACTGTTCTCACAAGCATGGATACATCACCTCCTCAGAAAACATGTCCAAAAATTTGTTTCCCCAGTATAAAACCAAAACAAGGAGACAAATATTTTTCTTCTAATGTTTGCTTTCTACTTATTTCCTGTTGCTACCTTTGTGCCTGTGTTCCCCGAGCCCCGGAACCCACTGATTTTGCATCTGCTGCCTAGCCTTTCAAACCCCAGAGGACTGCGCTACAGCAGCTCTCCCTTTGCAGCTGGCAGTCATGGGATCGTTTCAGAGCTGAGGTGAACAGGCAGAATGCTGGGAACATAAACAGGGGCTCCCAGCCGCGACAGGGACTGGAACTGGGATTGGGCATACCATCCCAGTTGTTTCAGGAATTGGAGCTTTAAGTTACCTCTTTTGGAGTTATTATTATTCTTCCAAGTGTCTCTGTTGCTATCTATTTCTCTGTTGTCTTCTTGACTGTTCATGAAAAGCAAAACACTGAAGGGTCACTGGCAGATTCAAATTCATTTTTGAAGGTGAGCGAATACTCGCAGGGATTTATTTACCCAATTTCAAGCAGAAAAAAAATATATAAGCAACCTATTGGGAAAAAAAACAAACCCCAAACGTATTGGGGAAAAAACCTCCCAAACCTAACTGCACATATCTAACCAAGGCAACCTCACAGCCCTGTCATTCAAAACTTTACTGTTATTTCCTCATTGCTGGTAGCATCCTTTTCCGTCTTGAAAAGTGGCAACCTCTTCTGCGCAAAGATCAAGGACTATAAATTTTCACATTCTGGGCACTATGAGAACCATTGATAAAAATTTATTGAATGAATCTCACTTCACTAGGCATGACTTTCCCAAACTTGTATATATATATATATAACGTGTGAAATAATTTATTGCTTGGAGACCTGTTAAACAAGCAGCCACAAAAGCCCATTGCATCTCATTGTTTGAAGCCTAAACCTCAACATCATTTATTTCTAAGCTATTTTTTTGGTACATGCAGAAATCAAACCCTTGTAAAATCTTTTTAATTTCCTGCTCACGTTGTTTGGGCTCACACACTGGACTTGTAAGATATTTCACTTTTTTTTTTTTTTCACATTGCTGGTAAACTCCTTCAGTTTCAGCCGTGATGCCCATAAACAAAATTCACATCAGACAAGGCAAAGGTTCCAAGACAGACAGTTATTAGCTCAAAGCCAGAGTGTTTCATTTTAGTCTTCATCCCCATTTAAACCAGGAAAACCTCAGTAAGTACTGAATTTAAATCCACTGTCACTTTCTCCAGGCCTTTGTTAAAGGACTCATGATTAGTTTCTATTTTACAGTACCTCCTAGATCCTCATGCTGAGAGGGGCCGCACTGTATCACGTAGAGCTGCGTGGACACACACAGCAAGGAGCAGTCTCTGTCCTGGAGTGCTTACAAACCCATACAGCCCAGACAAAACATAAGGAAACATGTGTCACAGCAGGTCGGAGGGTTCAGAAGGAGAGCTCAGGATTCGCAAGTCTTAATCCAGGACCTCAGCAACCACATCAGATTTTGTCATAGACTTTGTTTTGTTTAAAAAGAGTATGTATATAATAAAGGGTAAATGCGGATATAATAAAGTACACGAATATAAACCTTTTTGTAAGAAAACTTCTGTCCCTTCTTAACAGGAGCAACCACAAAACCTCATAAGCCTCTTGGATCCATCTGAATCCTCTCCTTTCTCAAAGCACGTGCTAATGGCTCCTAACCCAATGGCTCACTCTCACAACAGAAACAACTGTTTGCTGGAGAACAGTTTTTGCAGGAGAGCGCAATGTTTTGGTATGTGTTTACCGAAAGGGATCTTTATAATTTCTGATTCCTGTTGGTCCTGGTGCCCTGTTTCTGTGTACCAAAAGGGAGAGCAGCAGCACTCTGCCTCTGAGCAGGACCCTGCTCTCCTCTGCTCTGAGGCCTGCAGGAGCAGGCAGCTATCAGGAGAAAGGAAATTGCTGTTAGCTTCCAGTCAGGCTTGCAATGTGTGTAAAACTCTGGTTGCCTGATGAAGTCCTGGGTTACCATCAGCCCTCAGGATTGGCAACCTGACTGTTCTCCAAGCTGCATTTCTCTGAGCAGTGCCCAGAAGCATTGTATGACATTGGCAAAGCCAGCTGTTCCAGAGAAATGCTCCAGGGAGCAGCTGCTTTCTGTCCCAACCCTCATGGCTCAGGACGTCTCCTGCAGCAAGCCCTCCCTGCAGTATTGTGCCTGCGGTCCACGCATCGAGGCTTGGGGTGCTTTGCCAAACCAGGACAACATTACAAAGGAGTAGCTGGGAACTCTGAAGCAGAGCAACAGCTGGCGGCAGCACAACACAGCCCTCATTTTCTCTGTGCCATTTATGTGATTTTCCACTCAAATCACTGTGCCATTTGAAGGAATTCAGACTTCTGTCATTCTGAGTTACAGTCAGACCTGTGGGTGCCACTAATTCTGCCAAATGAACAGTAAAATAGAAACAGACAGAACGATGTAATTAAGCATGCTGTAGAGAGAGAGTCAGAAGGAACACACCAACGGTATTTTCAAAAGCTACCTGCCCCAGTATTCATGGCGTGACTCACAGATCTACTAAAGCACTGCAGAAACCCTGGACAGGCTACACGATTCTCACCAGGAGTTTATGTGAAATTGAGTCCTCCCAAATGGTCATTCAAACTCAGGGTTACTGACAAGGGGAGGGATGAAATAAAACGTTCCTGTTGTTCTAGACAACAAAAAAAAGACTGCTAAGGAAGTAACTTTATAACCTGAGAAGGGTCTGCAGCTTTAAGAAATTCTCCCCTAAAGGTTGTAAAGCTTTTACTATGCAAAGTATTTTTGCTATTATATACACTGGCGGCCACTAAGTGCAGCTATTATTTCTGGCGGTCATTCAGAGAAGGTCAGGGCTGATAAAGTGTTTAACAGAGTTTGTTTGGGTAGATCCATCTGTGTTTTTAACCACCCATACAGTCTTTTGTGCCCTTTTAAAAGACGCTGGATGTTCCTGAGTCTAATAAATTATGGTCTTTCTTTTTATTTGCCATCTTTTATTATTTATCGTGCCACAGTAAAGAACATCTTCTTTACAATGTCCACACTTTTCTATATGGATTACACAAGCATCTAAACAAGGGACGATCCTTGGCTGTGGGGCAGAGGTGCAGCCCACACAGAGCTTCCGTTTCCTTGGTAAAGGCCATATGGAGTTGTGACCTGTTGCTCTCACTCCTGACACCTTGGGGTGAGTTCATGCCTCAGAGGAGCCAAGAAGGGGAGACTGCAATCAAAGGGCAGGGAAGTAAGAGGTATGTTGAAAGGATGTAGCAAGGAGCCCAAGATGGAGCTTTGTAAAGGAACGTTTTCAGGTCACGTGAGCACCAGGAAAAATATCCTAACTACCTGAGATGGACCGTAATAGCATTCTTAACACTCCCACTGGACGGGTTTGGCAGTGCAGGATTTGAAACCTAGCCCCCTAGCGAAGCAGGCGAACTCTCAGCACCCCAGTCCCTGCCTGGCTGCACTGCACGGCCACAAGGTGAAGAACCTCAGTGACCATCTCTGTTACTGTTTATGACTACTGTTCCAAAACCTGAAATGAAATATTGCTAGGACTCTATGGTTTCAAAATGCAGTGCAAACATTTGCTGACTATGAAGCAGGTGAGTATCAGTATCACCATTTTACAGATGGGAAAGTAAGACAGAACAGATGACTTGTAGCTAGTGACCGCTAGTGAATGTGTGCCCTGCCTGATGCAAATAATTTCCATTGACATAGAAGTTACTCAAGTCCTACAGTGAGAGGATCCTCACATCTGACAACCATTCTGGACATTTTGTAAAGCTTTTTGTATGCAGTACTGTCCTCAATGTGTGGTTCGGGTCTCTTTGCCACTTACCTGAGCTTATCTGCTACAAAGATCACGCGCCGCTCCAACAGGAGAGAAGCGAAGATCCTGATGATCTGACGAATGCTGAGGCACTTGAAAAGGCATTCAAAGTCCACGTGTTCCAGGCGTGAGTCCATGGGCCGCCGCAGCTCGATGACCTGAACACACCCAACAAACATCAGTCAGCATCACTGGTCAGGGCTGGCAGCGCCAGGGGCGCCCGGCACCCCAGCCCAGACCCTCCAGCACCACTCCGTGCTTGCCTGTTGAGGGGACATGGAGAACGACCCCCATCCTCTTTTGCAAACTGAGGCTGGAGGCACAGCACTCCAGAGAAATGGCGTATTACACAATTCACTGTCAAGTCATTCTTCTTCCCAGAATACATTTGTGTTCATTAAACCTGCTGTAATTTCTAAGGGAAGCATAATTCTGCCTTCTAAACACCCTGCCAGAGATGTAAAGCTTGGCTAAGTCAACGGTATGAAGCAAGTAACAAACTGGAAACACCGGAGCCAGAAGCTTACAGGGTTAAAACATTCATGAAGACAAGGTAAATTTGGTTATAAACTTGGCTAAGCAATTCAAATTCCCATCTAGATAGGCGCCAGGGACTGAACTTAAAGGCCGGGCAAAATTTAAACACAATTTACTTCATTTTCACATAGTTCACTAGATAATGTTTAAAACCTTTTTTTTTTTTTTCCCATAAATATATGTACGTATACATACTTAACTGGGGAGTCAGGACAAGGTCTTAGATGGTGACTTGTGACATCCCTTTAAAGTCTAATTTTCATACTTCATCCATGACCTCAGGCCCTCTCCTTCCTTTTCTCACATGCTTTTTGCTCGATTCCTTTATTATATCTTCCTTTTACTCTGCAATTGACATGTTCAGATGTGGAACTTGAAGGCGGAGGACAGAAAAAAGAAGAGGGAAAAATAACTTGAAGAAGAGAGTAACAGAGGGAGAAAAATATGAAGTGAAAGACAGCAAATTATGAACTTCTGAGGAATTTGAGGAAACAGAAGGGAAAGGGGAAAAGCTGGCCAGCTTGAAGCTGTGTTGAAACCTCTGAAGACATATTAACAGGAGCACATATACATTTCCTTGTTTCTATATGTCCAAAAATCACTGTCAATCTATTGCTTTAGACCACTTTTATGTTTTCATGCACATGATACCACATTCCACAAGCATACAGTATTTGGTTTAAACTGGAGTAGCCTTACAAAATTCCTCACAAACACACTCTTTTAAGGATACGATCAAGACTGCAGGATACTGGAAACAAAACCAGTTCATACCAGTTTAGTTGTAACATTGTTTGTGATCAGTAACACAGGACTGTAAAAGAAAGTCACTGTTACGATGTATTTGTGCACAGATGTGATTTTTTTTAAAGCCTGAAATACCAAAACATTATGGTGCCAGAGTATTAATGCCCATCACTCAGCTGTTGCCTCAAACAGCAGTAAGAATCAAATCGCGGAGCGATGGAGCGCCACAAACATCTCCTCGGAAAATGCTGCCTGCCTCTCTCCCCTATTCAGTAAAGGTGCCCCCTTCCATTCCTCACCGCTGGGACTGCAAGCTCAAATCATGTTTATGTGCCAAATCAGGAGGAGCTGGTTTTACTGCAAAATTTCCAACAATAAAATCTTGCTGCGGGGTAGGATGCAGTGCAAGTTACAGCAGCTTTTACAAATGCCATGGATGTTTTCCGTTGCCTGGCAAAGCCGCCTGCTTCAGTCTGCTCATCACAAAGAAATATACTGTCTACTTTCCCAATTAATCACCATCTTTGTTTAGGTCAGAGGAGCCACAATGGAAGGAGAAGATTCTGTTCCTAATTAAGCCAGTGCATTCCATTTAAATAACGAGTTTGTACTAGCATAACAAAGAGCAAAGCTCAGCCAGAAGAGAGTTGTTTGTTTGTTTGGAATTATCTCAAATGTTTTTCTCTGGGAGAGTTCAGAAGCTGGAGCAGAGGATAGAGAAGTTGCAGATCCATGGTTCCCAGATACATTCACATCAAAAAAGCATTATCAGATCCTACCACTGTTATGCCAATCAGCCTTTCAGTTTTCCTTTGCTTCTCCAGAAGCAGCTGCTCGTGACTTAAACATGTCTTGCAAGTCACTGCTACAAGAAACCCGTTACATTTCATACCAAGGGACATTACAGGCCCACTCGAAGTCAGTGGCATTACACTTGAAGACAATATGATTCGATGTAAAAATAGTAATAGCACTGTAAAACTAACGCTAAGGAGTGTAAAATAACCCTAGAGGGGATTTTTTTCTTGGTTTGACTAACTGGGCCAAATTCTGTTCCTGTCTGTGGTAATGTATTTCTTCTATATGCCTGCCCATCTGAGTGGAGCTGCCGGACACTTACACCAGGATAGGCAGAGACCAGCATTTGACATGGTGAATGGCTAGCAAGCCTCAAGTTACGCAAAACTTTTTTAAGCAAGGCACCAATACTGCCATTTTCCAGTAAGGCATCTGTTGTATAATGCTAGGCTTCTAGCTACTTGAGGCAGTAATAAAAGGAAACAAAATATATTATAAGTGTGTGCGCACACATATAAAAACTTGTATATGACATGCTTTTCCAAATATGGACTATTTCTTTGAGGGACAGCTAAAGAGTATTTATTGCCAAAAAGAGCCATTTAAATGCTGCTGGTCACTCCTCCTACCAAGGCCAGGACCAGCAGTAATGAGCTTTGCAATAACAGCCAGCTGCTGGACTATTCAAGTGCAGTCGGCCTGGGAAACTTACACTGGCTTGTTATCACCGTGATAAAGCCCAGCAGCACTGCAGCCTGTTAACTACACTAGGCCAGGCACGCTAGGACATCTGTGGTGTTTGTGGTTCCTTCTTAAACACAACTTATCAATAGACATAAAATAACAAATACATAACAACAACTTGGCTTGTAATCATCAATGGGCACTAGCATTAGCACATCAACACTGGTGCAGCTCCTGCACTGCTCATTTTGAGGTGTGCCACCTCCCACGCCTGGCAGCATCCGTATGTCTCCTCCTGTTTTTCTTTTGCTGTTTGATAGTGGAGCGGTGAGGCGGGAGGCTTTGACTTTTAATGTTTGCAGTTGCTTTTTACCTCGTTTCCAGCTCCAGGCAGAAAGGTTTTGACTTTGATTGTCTTTCCAGGTGCAGGAAAAGGAGATTCCATCAGACTCCTCATAAATGGATAAACCAAGGCAGCAGATATTCCCCTTCTCCTTTCAACCTCATCCAGGATCTGATCCATCCATAAGACACAAGAGAGAATGAGACAGAACATGTCAGCACCCCATACACTTTTGAAGCATCTTTTGACCCACATATGCCTAAACACATGGCAGATCTAAGTTTAATTCTCCTCTGTCATGCATTTCTTCACTAACATTAAAGCCACGAGATTCAATCGTACTCTAAAAATGATACGTTTTCCAGTTACAAAATGGAGCCTGTTTGTGGATGCAGTTAAAACAGAGACAAGGAAGAAATAAGAAATCTGGAAAGGAGAAGGACGACTCATCATGGCAAAAGGGATCTATATTGTTGGGATTTTGCCTGAACAACAGCATGAGCTGAAAGAGAGAAAGAGCAAGACAAATCCCATCATCACAGGCCAGGTCAGCATCATGTCTCAGTGGCACATCTTGAGATTTGTATTAAGGAGAAACACTTTCTTCTGCTCTGGGCATCTCTTCCATTTCAGCTGAGAGGGCAGGAAAAAGCCAGATCGGCAAGAAAAGCAACCCTGCCACACTATGATGCCAGCGGAGCTCCACCAGGAAAGAGGTCCTGGAAGAGCCCCGGCTGTGGCGGCAGCGGTCACGTCACAGTCTGTGGGGAGCAGGAGCCAGCCACAAGCAGCCTCATGAAGCATGCCCAGCTGTTTACACTAGGTGCCTGCATTAAGGCCGTTTTCTGTTTGACATGACACAGAGCAGACAATCTAGTTTTGAAATAAGCAGATGGAACTTCTTACAGATTGAGAGGACTATTGTTGTCTTTCTTTGGTCACACGGGCCAACATAAATTAGATCACAGCTAAGTTTTCCCACATTAGACAGACCATATAGATGATAAACCTAAAGGAGATGAGAACACAAGCTTCAAAGCAGTTAGTGGTTTGACCTGAAATGGTGATCTTTTAACCACCACTCAAGAGCAAAAGGCCATACAAGAGCTAGTGGGTCTGAGTCATTTTCCCTTGTTTCTCTTGGAAGTGCTTTTCACTGAAGCAGAGCATTAGAAGATGCTTAAGCACAAGCTGGTGACTTACAACAATAGCTAGTGACACCAAATGCCTGCAGAGGCATTCACCAGTGCAAGAGTTGCCCCTTCCTCCTTGCAGCATAGTAAAGAGCTAACTGAAGCAAAGCTGATCCTATATACATAGCTTGCATTCCAGTCCACGGAAGTGGCAGATAACCATAAATGAAGACAGGAATTTCATGCTTGATGTAACTTGCAGCACAACAACTATCCTTACCAAACAAAACCAGCTGCCCAAATGGGAAGCAGTAATGAATCGAGGCAATGGCCCAGGTCCTTAGTGCTCCTGCACACTGCCAGCATGCAGTTGTAACGTTCAAAACATATCTCCTTTTCCACACTCACTATTTGATGCTCCATGTTGCTGGAGTTGGGGACCATGTCATCCCTGTCCCAGCAACCTTCACAACACAAATCGAAAGGAGCATTTAAACTGAATAAAAGTTGAACAGAGATTTCGGGAGATAAAATGGTCAAAAACATCTGTTGAAACCATGACCAAAATAACTGTCTGGAAGTAAAGATATCTGTGGTTGTCAAGTCCGTCTCAGCAGTAGGTATTACAACAGTGAGCATAAAAGGCTTTGAGGAAGATGAAAATAATGCAGGCTATCAGAAACAGGATGATAAACATTTTTAACCAGAGGACTCCTTTTGCTTTTCTGATAAATAATATCCAAGGTTTAATATCTCGTGATCTTTCATCACTCACATTTTTCTGTAAAGACAACCGTTCCGTGTTTTGACTAATTTGGCATCATGATCATTTTCCTCTCTTTCACTGGATTTATCAACTAGGACAGCCCAGGTTCCTCTTACTAGGCTGGAAAAAAAGACTATCTCACTTTTCAAGAACTTCTGTCTCCATCCACACCACATCTGTCTCCAAAACTAACAGGGATGCTAAGGCTCAAACTCTTCTTCCTTCATTTAACAGCTGTTTTGTCCAAGCCCTTTCCAAAGGCGGTGCTTGGAATGTGTGCTAAAGAGCTGTGCTGAACCCAGCCCAGGGCTGGATTCGGCTGGTGCCATCAGGATGTGACCATCCCTCTGCAGGACGGTTCCGCTCTGGCCACACTCCAGCGCTGAGGGGCTCCTGTTGTGGCCCAGCTGTTGTAAAAGAGCACAGGTGTGTTACAGGCTCATTCAGTGCCTGATACACAATGGAGTGGGAGCCTTCCTTCCCACACAGACCAAGAATTCGAAGCCCGTGTGGCCAGGGCCTGCCTGCTACAATGCCTGGGAACAGTGCCTGCTGAAGCCAGTGAATGGACACTCACCCATCAGCCTTGGGTTCACTTTGGATGATCAGACACTTTTTTTCAAGTTACAGATGGAACTGGGAAAGCAGATTATTTGCAGTTTTGGTGCAATAACCTTCATTGTCTGACCTGATACCTCAGCTGCAGTGATACTTGGTTCTAAAGAGGATACTTAAATTTTCTCTGTTTTTATTTTTTTTGCCTTTTTTTCCCCTCTCCTAAGTTTTGCTTTGAAAATTAGTGCACTATCAAAATTAGATAAAGCATAAAAGCAAACAAAGAGCCTCAGGACATCTCTCCATACTGCTAGTTTGGTGAGCTGTGTTATCCTCCCAGAACAATGCATTCCGTTTCACTCACAAATATCCGTGTTTAGATACATATTATGTCTAGGAGACACTGTAATAAACCCTTCCTTTCAGAGCTTTAGGAAAGACGTCAGAAGTGGAATTGCAATTAACTGTTGCAATCCAATTGTTTTTCTTCACACAAGACATGCGTTAAAGTTTTATCTAGAAAAGCTTGAAACCTGCTTTGAAAATAACGTTCTGTGTGCTTATTAGATCACACGAACAATATAAATGCTATGATTTTTATTAACTTGAATTATTTACATGTCCTTTTCAACTTTATTCCTACACAAATGAACAAGAAAAATCCATCTAAGTTCTGTGAGTTTTCCCATATCTGAAGTGACAGTCTCTGACAAATTAAAATAATGTTTCTCCAAACACTACCGAAATTGGAAAAGGGGAAGGCAGATATATGACATGCGACATATCATTGTTCTCCACAGATCACCAGCAAATCCTATACGATACTCTGAGGTATTCTCTAGATTTTGCAGAACACTCTCTCAGAGGACTAGGAGACCCTAAACTCACAGCTAGAGAGATATTTAAAATATTTATCAATCAGAAATGTTATTAATAGTTACTTTTAATAACCTTTTTGAGGCAATGCCTTGCTTATTGCCTCAAAACTCTTGTGTCAAGAAACGTATTACCTAGGTAAACCACATCAGCATACAGTGCAGCCTTGTATTCATTAATATAGAGGCCAATTAAAAGATTATGCATGCTTTCCTAGCCTCCTAGGACAAAAGACACCTCAATAGTTAAGCATATAGAATTCAATTATCAAATAATCTTTTTTCTTAACCTCATCATTCCAAGGGGTATTGGAGTAAAAGTGGTACTGGCCATCATGCAAATCGTGGATGCCAAGAATTACAGCTCAGCACAGAACAGCTTCAGAAAACAATGGAAAAAACTTCAGTCAGCCAGATCATACAGACACCCAGATGTTTTCTGAATCAAGTTCTGCCTTAGTCACAGAAGTAATAAGACATTCTTTGATGAGCCCAATAATAGGGATGGAATATACAAAACAGCAACTGTAAAATACAGTTATCTCCCATCAAAGGAAGAAATTCTTCTTGTCTGGATCATCACTGCGGATGTGTCTCAGTAAACAATCAAATTAAAAAGCAATATTGAAAAATATCTTCTTACCTTGGAAAATAAGTCAAAGCAACCCAGCCGGCTGATGACACAATAAACTTCAGGTAAGCGTGGGCCTTTTCCACTTGGCTGATGACAGTAAAAAGGAGAGTGAAATTACATATTAATTTGGAGTCATAAGGAAAACACAATTGTCTCTCTGATAGCACAGTTGGCCATCATGTGACATCTTTCACTATCCGTTTCGCCATCAAAACAGCTACTCTTGGAAAAGCATCATATTTCTTCCATAAGACAGGAAACTAAAAAGCGTAAATAGTGCTTATCCACTCTGGAAATCATGGTGCATTGGAGCTGTATTCCAACACCGCTTCAGCTTGCAGCCATAAAAGCACATTTAACTGCGACTGTAACTCATGCCTGTGCTATCATTGTCCTCTGATCCTGCTGTGGCGTGCGGAGTGGGGCCACCCTGGGGCCGTGTGCTGCGAGAGGAGAACCGCAGTGCTAAGGGAGATTTTGATGGCTTTAGTTCCCCGCTCGCCCCATGATGTTCAAAGAGAGCTCAACTTACAGAAAATAAGCTCGTAGACCTAAAAAAAGGCAACCTGCAGGAGGCAAATCATTAAGTTCCTCAGATTAACGCACAATAAACATGAAACTCTTAAATAACTTAAACAGTGACAAGTATGAATCAATGATGCATATCCTCCCCATCCCCCCAAAAACCCCCACAACTACAAAGACCGTCCTCTAGAACCATCCTATCAAAGATATTTCCTACAGAAGCAAACGGTTTAAATTGGCTTGACTGACGTGTACTCCCTTAGCACGCTGGATGCCGCAACCCTGCCTGTACTGCTGCAGGGAAAGGCCCGTCAGTGCTGTGTGTGAAAGAAGGGTACAACCACTGGCTGGATTCAGCTTATTTACTGGAAAAGAAGTAGAGTTAGGCCAATGGCGAGTGCTTTAGAAAAACCATCCTCACTGGCAAGGTCCTCCGAGCAGAGAGCTGGTCTCCCTGTGTCCTGCATGTGTACAATGAGCACAGATGGCAGTGACATCCACACATAGCAGCTTCCCACTGTATCTTCAATAATCTGTGATGCAGCATTCCAGTTTTGTGTAGCTGCAGCTGACTTTCACCAGATCATCAGCAGGCACACGCTTCCTAGGGGCTGTTATTTTAACAAGGCATCTTGCTGACTTCAGATGCAGTCACATGTAGTCCCAAGATAAAATGCAAGGAAGTCCTGGGGCTGCCTTGTCCAGGAGCTATGCCCACCACAGCACAGAGCAGCTGCAGGTACACTAGCAAACCTCAGCACCTCAGCAGCAAAAAGCTGAAAGAGGGGTCTGGGACAATAGGTGAGGCTGCTTAGTTCCTTGCATCTCGTGGAGTGAGCTGTGCTTGTGCCACATGGAGCGAAAAGTGGCTGTAAAAGAATCACTTGGCATCGCTTAGCCTCTTTGCGCAGCTGTACATTATTGGTACGCAGCAGTGACAGAATCTTCTCCATTAATAACGACTCTGTGATAAAGGAGCTCAGTCACCGTTTCCATCAGCTTCTGTCCACTTGTACATTTAGCCAAAGTGGTTGATCGTCTCCTCTGTATGCACATAGAAGGCCAGTATATTTTTATCTTTGTCTCATCATTAGACTCTGCTGATACAGTCATTAACTTCCCCACGGTGAGTTTGACATTTACATGGCACACATGTCAATCATGAGAAACTGAGGGGTGGCTGTGCTTTTTAAATCTGAATATTGCAATCTAGACTTGGACAGTCAGCAGGTGCCTGCCTGTTATAATAAAGACCACAAAAAAATACCAAAGCTAAGTGAATACAGATGAGTCTATTTCTGTATCCAAACCTGCTCACTACACATCGCATTTCTGAAAAAGCAGAGCCCTTTTTTGTCCATATTAGGTATAAAACGCTTTCTAAAGGCACTGAGTGATTATATC